AGGATGGCTTTTAGCAGGTACCTTTAAAGGGGATGTAGGGGATAAATACGCTTATTTAGGGTTTAGGGTTTCCCAAAATTAGGGGTACCATTTGTGGGGTCCCCATCATGGGGAACGATACAGTAGTATTTTGGGGTCTATATTGGGTCACCCTATTTAGGGAAACTACGAAGTACAACTTGATACCCATGATCACGACAGACATTGCTGGTACCTGTTAGTACGACTATGACTATGACCACTCCAGATAATGCGAGCTGATAGCCTTAGTGCACCCGCTTTCAAAGCCGTGCCCTCGGGCTGCAGGCTTCATCGATGTGGTGGACGACATCATACAGGGCCGCAACCTGAGCTGCAAGACTTTGAAGGGTGCCTTGTGTCAAAACCGTGAACAGCAGAATGCAAGGACACTGCTAGGCATGACCGCACTAAATGTCCATATTTCAACGAAAAGCAGCAGTTGCAACAGCCTTCAGGGGCCAGGGTGTGAAAAGCGGCTTCGTGGTCAACCTTTTTGCTCCAATTTCTGGACTGGCTATCGCCGAGTGACGTCTCATACCACGTTGTGGCACAGCTATTGTCAAACCGTAGCAGGCCGCGATTTGGGCTTCCGAGATCCCTGCATCGTTGCCTGAGCCCAATATGACGGCAACAACTAGCCATGTTTGTTCCATTAGTGCCAGCCGGTACTGACAAAGCCGCTGTTCGAAATTGAGTTTAGCTTCCATGCCTGTGAGCTGACCGCGAAACTCGGACAGCTTCCAGGCGACACAGAGCAAAGCAGCAGGGATACAAGCAAAACACAAACCCCTTCACAAACGCAATCTCATGATAACTTGTTTGTGTCCTGTGCATGTGCTTTGATAATTAACAAATGTAGACCCCTGATTAATAAACCCCTTCCTTTCCAGGGCCTTAATAGTAGAACCCTTATCTAATCCGTATTACGGGGAGGGGTTTATTAATAAGGGGTCTACGTTAGGCATGCCATTGAACCAAGCCATCATCGAACGGAAGGCTTGGCTTTGCAGAAGAGGAAAAGGGCCCTATGGGGGTTTCCCCAAATAAGGGATAATCTATTGGGTGTCCCTATAACAGGGATTAAAGTATTTTGGGATCTATATAAGGGTCCCCCTATTGTGGGAAACTACCTCCAAATTTCTACAGTTCGCTGCAAGATATTTGAAGATTCACGCGCCATGAAGAGATAACATCTCGTACGTTGCAAGACGAGTTAACACGATATTGTGATGAATATAATTTTGAGACTGTCGGGCCACACTTATGGAAGAAAGGGGAAATTAGCATGAACGCCGCTTCCCCTACGAAGATACTGAAAAAGCTTCTTGCTATTCGCAAGCTACGCAGGCTCCCAATATTATAATTGATATTAATCTCTCAACTCTCGATCATGATAATGCCACTTGCGGCCATGTCACTCGCGTGGGGCCCAGCTTTTCCGGCTCTCCATTAATGCCACCTCTGGATTCTCCAGGGGCTCTAGATTTACCGAGATTTTGGGGCTCTTCGGAAAAGTCTAAAATCCTAAAAATATCTGAGATGTTTGTTGCGGGGGGGGATAAACAAAAAATCTCAGAGATGTTTAGTCGCATGCCCCTCTCTCCCCATCATTTATATATCTTTCTGGCTGTTTGTGCAGCAGCTCGGTCGTTGGCATTGGTCGCGCTCCCCACTCTTGTAGAGCTCTTAAATTCCCGTGGACAGGCACGGCCGACCTGAATTCTCAAAGATTTTGGATCTCACTCTCGCGCCTCTAATTTTGGGCCTAATTCGCTTTTTGAGGGTATGTATTTCTCTTGCAAAACGATATGCTGATCGCCCGAAGCGATAAGTTTTATATTTCTCGAAAATCTTACGAATCGATAACGTTCTGAAGGCAGAATTTAAAACGCCTGCAAAACGATAAGCTGATCGTCCAAATGCGATAAGAATGACGAATATTGGAAAGATTAATTCTAGGGTTTGGCTGCGAGCTCATTTTATTGCGTTGCGATGGTCCGTCGTTCTGATCTATTTTTCACGTCTGCCGATATATGAATCTAGCAGATTATCTATTAATCTATCAATCTGATTGTCTATCTGACGGCCTCTCATTTTGATATTAAATTCTTAGTTGAATTTAATTCTATTGATGAAATTATTGGTATTTCGGTCTGTCAATCGGGCGATTCGATGATCTCTCGAATTTATTAATTTCGTTATTTATTCAATTCTCGGCATAATATATTATTGATGAATCTAGTTTGAAGCGCGTCGGAGAGAATATCTTGTATTTATGAGATTTTATATATTCTGGGATTCCGTTTAATGATAGATCGATTTAATCGTTAATCTTTTATAAAAGGAATCAATTTTCGGGCGGTTGAGTGCACGTAAATCTATCTATATCCGTAATAAATATTTTTTTACCGATAGAGAAAATCTATTTGAGATGCGGCTATTTTTGATTTTGACGCGAATTCATTTGGCGATGAATTTTCAATATCTACCGAATCTATTTTTGAAAATATTTCAATAAAATGGCACGAGCATAGTTATTTATAATTATGTCGCTTGCGATGGGCTTAATTTCTCCGGCTCTCTTTCAAAATATTTCTTGCGGTCTCTCTAGGGATTATATTTTTTCTTTCTGTTTGATTTATTTTTTCGGGTTATCTATAGGAGGGCATAGGGCGATCTCTCTATTTTGTTGATATTCAAATTTCCGTGGAAAATTGCGGTTGATCTAAATTCTGAAAGATATTGGATTTCTTCTCCGGATGATCATTCTGGGAATTAGAATGATAGCTAATTAATAGAACGATCTATCTCTATCAATCTCTCTATATTTCGGCTCTTTATTCTGATATTATTTATTTATCGGTCGAATATTTTCTTGATATAATTTTTGAATTATTGATCTCGTATTTATGAATTATTAATAAATCAGAATATCATATTTAATCATTTATTATCCCTCTCTCTTAAAAAATTATTGGACGGCTAGATATTAATGATTGGGAAATGATATTCATTTCGATTCTTCTAGAAATGATTATAAGAAGGTCGGGGCGAGGCCTCATATATATTATCGTAGGACATTAAATTTCGAATAAATAAAGATAATTCAATAGATCGTTCAATTAATATGAATAAGATTTCTTGGCAGGAAAATCTTAGATATGAATATAAGAGGATCCTAGGGATCTTCATATATATCGTCATAGAATATAGAATTTCAAATAAATATAAATTATTCACTCGAAAAAAATAATAAGAATCAATAAAACAAAGATTCGATAGATATTTCTATATATATTTCATGATTTTATACCATAGATTATTGATATTCAAATTATTAGATTTCCTCTCTTTTATAAATCTTCGTGGCGATAAAATATCATATAATGATTATATTTCTATATCTTATTGTAGAAATGATTTTCCTATCCCTCCTTATTTATTTTCATATAGATAAAATCGAAAATGATTATTAGAAATGGATTCTCGGATAATTCCCTCCTATAAACTAATTAAAATAGAAAATATTAGGAGATATTACGAAATCGGATTATAGATTATCAGAAAAATGATTTCGGATTCCTGGGATCCTCTCCCCTCCCAATCATATCCTATATCCCTCAGAATATTCCTAGATTCCCTGCTATTCCCAAATATATTAGCGAGGAAATAATAGGAAATCAAGATCAGGGATTTATAGAAAATATGATCGCAGAATCTTGGGAAGTTCATTCTTCCTTCCAATCATTTCTTATACGCCCCGGAGCTTTCGTAGATTTCCTAGCAAATATCAGGAAAATCAGGAATCTTCGCCGAAAAAATTATTATTCCTGATTCCCCGCTCCTTTCAAATGCGTTGGCTGGCAAATATGAGGAAAATCGGGAGCAAAGATCTATTGAACAAATATTTGCAGGCTCTTGGGGTCCCCTCCTTCCCCCTACAATCATTTCCTGGGTCCCTCAGAATCTTCCTAGATTCCCCGCTATTATTAAATACGATAATAATTTCCCGCTATTCCCAGATATATTAATTAGGAAATATTAGGAAAGCCATGAGCAAGGACCTCCCGAAAAAATGATTGCAGATTGCCCCCCCCCCCGGCCCCTGGGAACTCCTGCCCCCCATATCATCATATCCTGCATTCCAGGATAGGGAATTATTTTAACGTTTAGGCTCAGCGCCGGATCTTATCTGTACGCGCCAATCTGATTGATCGATAAAGTCCTGGACGTTCAATTTGAGAATATAAAATCCTAAGATATGGAAATATGATAGGAAGAGATTGGGAATATAGGCGGGCGACGCCAGGCTAGCAGATATCAATCCCCCTCCCTTTCTCATGTCTAGAAAGGAAGAATTGGGATTTAGGGCTCTAGATAGATGTATCAAAGAGGCAACGCAATAGGATTAATAAGATTCTCTTCTATCCCTAGATATCTTAGCTAGGAAATATTTGGAAATCAATTCCAAGAAATCCCAATTATCAGGACTATCGATTCTCATAATAATAGTAGTCGTTATTGGATCAGGAATCATAAGAATAGAAATAGAGAATAAGAATATCATATAATAACGGCATTATTCCTAATAATGGCATTCTTATTTTCTTTATATTAGCGCCTGAATCCAATTATTTTGATATTATTCATTAATGATCTTGATAGCCTACGATATTCTCATATATCTTCATCTTTGGATATAATATAGATCTGCCGCCCCTTCGGGAAGGGGGAGAGGGAATTCCCTTGAAATGATTACAAGGGGGCATTAGATTTCATAAAGAGGAGGATTATTCTATTAAAAAATAATATTTATCGGATCTATTATTAGATCGTTTTTTCTTGATATTAAGATCATCTATTATTCATAGAATTTATATTTTGATATATTTCCGATTTAATAATATTCTTATCTAGATAATTTAAAAAATATATTAGATCACGCATGATTTTATTTGAAAATAATGAATAAAATTCATATGATACGAATTTTGTAAGAAGAATTAAGATTCTATATTATATGAAAATCTATGATAGATGAAAATATTGAAATTACGGATTTAAATATCACGATATTTTGATATTCTAATCATTTTGATCATTTAGAATAGAAATTCAGAATCGTTTAGAAATCTAAATATTATAGGTTTAAGAAGAAGCTATTTTTGATTCTTGAATTCTTGAAATATCTTTATGAATTTAATTCTTCATTTTCTATTGATTATATTTAGAAAGATCTAGCATTAAATATCATTCTGATAAATAAGAGATTTCTATGAATCTTCGATAATCTTCGAAGATAGATTAGATTTCGATGTCATTAATATATAGATCTCAAATTAGGTCCTAATGAATTGAGATTTCTGAGATTGAGGGGATGATCTCTCCTCAAATATAATCTTATAGAAACGGCGGTTCTGGGCGTCTCGATTCCTGATATCTCTTAAAGGAAGCTACGATCTTGGAAGAGAAGATCGTATGAATTGATTCAAAAATCTCATTATTTGCGAGATTTGCAGATCTCTAAGACCTTCATGTATAAATGAAATAATCTTCATTACTTATCGCAGGGATTGAAATGAGATCTCTCATATTAAATCCAATATTTGGAATC